TTAACTAAATTATAATTATATATATTTTTATTTTCTTCTATTATCATTTATATGTACCATTTTGTAACTTTTTATGTATTTTGAAAGTACACTGAGAGAAAAATATGTACTGAATTTTAATAAATATTTGTTTAAATATTTACTAAATGAAAAAACAAGTTTGGAAACATGTAAAAAAAATTGCTCCTACATTATGTATAATTTTATATATGTCAGTAATTTTTTTACATTTCTTCAAACTCGATTTTTTCTAAAACAAATAGTGCGAAAATGACCTTTTTAATTATTTTTAATATTTTTATATTACTATTATTATTTCTATTACACTAAAAAGTAATTTTACAGAAGAAAAAAGATTGTTATTGAACATGCATAGACATATTTCATATATAATTATAGATATTTACGAATATTTATGCGTGTTTATGTATGTTTACACATATTTATACAGATTCATGTATGAAAAATTTTTTACCGGGCAGTGTACTTTTACTTTGCTGCAAATCATGATGATCTGGCAGTAAATATGTTGAAACGTTTAGGATTGTTCAGCAGGCAATTATAAAACGATTGCAAAACTGTTGCGTTCTATTAAACACACCCAATAAGTAAAAATGTCATTAGGTCTGTTTTTTTATTGCTGCACTTTCTGAACTGGTATACACAATGCAATAAAAGAGAAACTTTTTATGAATATTGATTGAGAATAATTTTAGGCGCAATAATTAAACTCTTTAGAAATATGAATTATTAATGTTTTGAAAATGACTATATCTTACATTTCAGTGAAATGTGGACAAAATGGACGAGAAATAATGCGTTTTGGCGTTATTTCTGCAATTATTTTCCATTAAAATTAGTGAAAACGGTAGATCTAGATCCCAAAAAATCTTATCTTTTCGTTTCTGTACCTCATGGTATTTTATCGATTGGATCATTTGGTTCATTTGGATCAGACGTATTGGACTGCAAGAAGCTATTTCCCGGACTTGAAATCCGACCAATCACTCTCGATCAACATTTTAAAGTACCTATATTCAGAGAATATCCTTATTCCTTAGGTAAAATTTCATAATTCTCGCCATTTATTAAATTTTTCTCACTTAACTGCAGATAAATTTTTCAATAGTATACTAAATGTACTTTCAATATTTGTATATTAATATATTAGAATTACAGTATGCATTCAAAAATTATACATATATATTATATGTAAAATAATCCAAATGCAGATAATATAATATATACCTAAATATATATATATATAATAAATACATTTATACATATATTGGTTGCATTAAGTAGATAATGCAACTTTGCAATTGTTGTAAAATTCCTTAATATGATTAATCTTACCTTTAATCCTCTTATTAGCTAAATTAATCATATTAAAAAATTTTATAAAAATAGCAAAGTTACTTTTTTTGCTAAACGCAGCCATTGAATCATTACATCTTATTACATTATAATAATTCTTATTTATAGAGGAGATTACTTCAAATAATTTTTTTATATAAAAAATGTATTGTTATCATATCGGTTTGCATAATATGTCTGCTTTAAAATGGATGAAAATTTTATATATATACATATTTTCTTTCAATCACTAATGACCACTTAAAAAGTTATATTTTTTGTATTTATAATTTGATCATAATGATAAATTATCGAACGCTTTTAGGTTCTTGCGCTTCTAGCGTGAGAAGTATCAAGTACTTATTATCGACACCACCAAGAAGTCCATATACCGGGAGAGTTACAGTTCTTATTGTCGGTGGTGCTTCTGAATCACTGGAATCAACGCCGGGCACTTATCGTGTCATCATAAAAAGAAGAAAAGGATTTGTGAAACTAGCACTAAAATACGGGTGAGTTATCTATACTTTTAATATATTAATATATTGCTTCTCCTTACTTTAAAAATGACTTAAAAAGTGTAATTTTCAAGTTATTCATAATGAATAAGTTAATTAAAAACATTACTCTATCAATCATTAAAAGCGAACTAACTTAAATTTATAAAAAATTGTCATAACTAAAAAGGACGATTTTTTTAAAAGTTATGAAATAAAAAATATATTATTTTTTCCGATATTATATAATTAATCAATAATTTTCTATCAAGTTGGAAAACAATTTTTTCTTTTATAAGAAATTTAAATTTATAAATTCATTAGTGGCTCGTAAATTAAAACATAAATTATAAAGAGCATTCAGCCACGCGCAAGGTATTTTTTGCTAATGTTATATATTAAAAATTTTTACGTTATAGAAACAAATTATAGACGTGGCCGAAACGTCTATAATTTGTTTCTGTAACGTAAGAATTTTAAATATATAACATTCGCAAAAAACACCTTGCGCGTGGCTGAATATGGTGGTATAAAGTAGCAAGGAACATAAAACAATGAAATTATTTGATATAATCTCCATTAGCTTGCACGACCTTCTCGAGCCTGAATCTGAACCTGCTGCAAGTGCGCTTGACCTCCTTATCCATATAAGCCATTACCTTCGTGATGGAGGTTTTTAGAACATTCTTTGTGTTGTAATGTTTTGCATTGACCTTCGCTTCAACCACGCCCCATACGTAATAGTCGAGGGGATTGCAATCCGAGCTGGAGAAAAGCCACAAATCGGGGGACCAATGATAAGGCAGGTTTTTAAAAAGCCAGGCCTGGATTTTTATTACCTTATGAATGCTCTTTATAATTTATGTGTGTGTTTATAAAAAATTTAATTTTAATTCTAGAAAAAATTGTTTTGCGTTCTGTTGACGACGACGACGACGACGACAACGACGACGACGACGACCAAAATCCTGGAATTTTAGAATAAAAAACTCGCAAAATAATAGTTTTTCCCTTCGACTTTGACTCAGTTTTTTACTCGGATATTTGTTTTTAGCACTTTACGATTTCGACTCTGTATTATTATTCCAGAATTTAGTTTTTGCACTTATCCGTAAGATTTCCGTGCAATAGTTACAAAAGTTAAAATATATAGTATAATGTCAGTGGCTATGTACTCGTAAATGTACTTTATCTTTCACTATTATTTGAATAATATTTTATACTGTACTTCAATTTTAAAAGTAAATATTCCATACTATTATTAATACAAATAATACTTTACTAGATTAATTGATACTGTTTTTGTCGTACACTGTGGTTGTAATTATACATACTCTAGATTTAAATTAGTGAGACAACGTTTATCGAATCTTTAATTACTCTTGAATCAGTATGATATTGGGATGTTGTCTCAAAATAATTGAAATACAGAATACAATTATAACTAATATGCAATAAAACAGTATCTATATGCTTATAAAGTATTATTTGTATTAATAACATCACTTATTTAACTTTTAAATATAAAATATCTGTCGTTTAAATAATTATATTGAAATAACTATATATTTTTTCATGAATTTTATGTAATTTGGTCAAAAATACAAAAATGATCTACAATTACCTCGGAAAAAAATACTGTCTTTTATATCCCTAGTAACATCTATATAGTTTTTATAAAATGTAAATCATAGGTGAAAATATAGGAAACTATAAAGAGTACGATAGTATAATAATTATGCATAGTAATCATATTCAACTAAACTCGAATCTAATATAACTCTTTGATTCAGTACGGCATTGGTTCCTGTCTTCTCTTTTGGCGAAACGGATTTATACAATCAAATATACAGCCCAGAAGGATCAACTTTCAGACGCATACAGAACTATATTCGCAATCTTATTGGACTAGCACCCGTCGTTTTTTCGGGCAGAGGATTCTTTCAGTATTCATTCGGCCTTATTCCGAAGCGTTTACCTGTCACCGTAGTCGGTAAAGTTTTCTTTATATATATTTGGTATTATTCATTGGTGCAATGCAAATATCAATGCGCACACTAAATTGTTAACTATCTCATGTTACTAATTCTATATTAAAATATATATATAATTTTTTTATGTTTCTTTTCATTATAGTTGGCAGTCCTATTGAACTACCGAAAATAGATGAACCCACGACTGAGCAAATCAACGAATATCATGAAAAATTTATGAAAAGTTTAGTTGAACTTTTTGAAACACAAAAGTATAATTATATCAAAAATGCAGAGAATGTTACTCTCGAGCTATAACATTTATTTGAATGCATATATGGTATAATGTAAAATGAGAATTTGTACTGTTTTCGAACTTCAATTATAAAAATTGTTACTATTTAAAGACATATAAAGATTTCGAAAGATTCTATGTACAATTAAGAGATTTTGATTGGACACTATTATATCATTAATTTTGTATAAAAATTTCGTACAAATACATTTTCAATAATTAGATTGAAAATAAAGTTGAAACTTATATGTATAAAGACGCAAAAAAGTATATTGAACAGAATTTAATTACGTGTCATTGCTGCGGTTTTTCACAGACATATGTATCCTTGTTTGTCAGAAACATATTCAGGTTATTATTAAAATTAATGTTATTTTTTAAATAAAATTAAAGTCAAATTTTTGTAATATGTATTTAAAAATTAAGTTGTACGATTATGCTCAAGTATGCAATAAGTTTATTATATAAATAATAATAGGTATCTTTTTGTGTTTTATTTGATAAAATATATATGCTATTAATAGAACTATTAGAATTGTGTTAATTGAATTTAAATTATATATAAATTGAATAATTTTTAGTCATAAGTAAGTTAGTCATCATTGTACATAAAACTATAAAAATTTATATGAGATAATTAAATACGTATTAGAAATACTTCTGATAAAAATTAGTTATTAATTACGGTATCATAAAATCACAATTTATAGATAATATTTGGCAACGATTGAATTCACATTTCATTTCGTAAAAAAGGAACAACCAAAACAGCAAAGATCAGAAATGCGAGATAAAAAAGACTCATTCTCAATACCTGTAATATAAGAGATAATTTTTGTAGCTACATGCATTTTATCGCTTGTTATATTTTATCCATACCTTATCCTGCCACTCTTTGTGTGCTATGCATTCACGAAAACTCATGCGAGTAAACTGCACGGCGAAATAAAGCGGTATCCAGAAATTGGGAACAAGGGTAAATAAAACTTTGTCTAAGAACTTTCGAAAAAGAAAAGATTTTTTCGTCACTAAATCTCTCATCTGAAAGATACAATTTAAAAACTAATTTTGAATCGACAAATACATGAGTGTCTGAAAACAATAGTAGATAAATTTGATTAATATGTACCTCTGTATAATTATACATTGCGAGATCACATATTGCGTGCCCATTGTCGCATCGTAATTCCGAAAATTTTGGCAAAATTTTTTCGAAGTTTGAATCGTAGCGTTCCATTAATTCATCGAGCATTAGAATATCTTCGAAACCCTAACGTAATAAAATGGAAATGATCATAAAAACAAATTCTATTACTTCCCCAATAGCAATGTGTAATATTGCTGCAATTTTTGTGCTGTTGGAGATGGTAACATATCGCTTCCTTACTTCAAAAGCGATATAACTCAAAAAACACAATTTTTTATTTATTACCATGAATAATAATATTTAATTAAATAAACATTATAATATCCTGTCTATCATTAAAAATAAACTAACTGAACTTCATAAAAACATCATTACTCAACGATTTTCAAAAATCATTACGATTAAAAGAAAGTGGTTTAAAGAAATCGTTAAAACACTCAAAGAAAGATAATCTTTTTAAAGATTGTGAAACAGAAATTATAAAAGTAATATTTATGTTAAGAATATATTTTATTCGCAAATTTTATTTAATTAATCAGTAATTTTTTATTATCTTAAAAACTAGTTTTTGAGTTATCGTATCACTTTTAAAGTAAAAAGGCGATAACTTTCAATAAACTTTGTTAGGACGAGTAACAGCTAATATATTCTATTTTTTTCTTTGCAAGTATCGCGAAGTAATTTAGTCCTCAAATCAATTCGATAAAGTAACTTACAGTATTCATTCCTTGAGCGTAGAAAGGTACCATAGCGTGAGCGGCGTCTCCAACTATAACAGCAGTTTTCCCAACATGATAAGGTTTACACTGTAAGACACAAGAATTTAATCATACTAAAATCTAACAAAAATCGAACGACCGCAGAATATAATAAAATTAAAATTAACCTTAATTGATATTAAAGTTTGCGGTTCTTTTTCGAAAAACTGCTCCACTAGTTTCTCCTCACCGATCAATAGCAGAAGATCCGGAAAATGCTCAGTGTAAAAGCTCAACAATGCTTCGCGCGTCTTCAGTTTTTCGAACACACAAAACGGAGCGAACAAGTTGCCAGTAAACGTGCAATCCTCATTCGGAAGGCTGGTCATCATAAATTCTCCACGCGGCCAAATATGAAGATTGTTACCGTTCATCGCAAACTTCAAAGAGAATAAAAAGTTTAAAAATATCTATTAAAATAAATCCATGTGACAGGGCTAATAAGAATCAGACGCAGTTAATGATGCATAAGTATAATACAAATATATATTTAAATCGTTATATCAAACATACAAACATGGGATCCATGTGACAAGAAGATTCAGGTTCATTTGAAATAATCAATCTATGTAAAATGAAATGAATGCAATCATTCACAAGAGCTTTCAATTAATTGACAAACCTAAAGATCCTTTTATTGATGATAATTATATTTTTATTTCTTTTGATGTTATCTCTCTTTTTACGAATATCTCTATTGACTCAGCTGATGATAATGTTATAAGAAGATACAATTTCATTTCAGACAAAGATATTATCCCACAAAAGATGAATTTATTACAGCACTAGAAATGATTCTTGACTCTACATATTTTTCTTTTAACAGTACAATCTGTAAACATAATGTTAGGACACCTATGAGCTCATATTTATCACCTATTATAGCAGATTTAATGATGTGTGATTTGGAGAAAAGAGTTCTTGAGACGCTGGGCATCTCACAGTTGTTTTATGTAAGATATGTAAATGATATTAACTCTAATACTGTTCGGTTGAAATTTTCATTATGTTATAATTTAATTACAAACTATTAATGATTGACTCTACTTGTTACGAATGTTGTTACGAATTTTATTATACATTACTCGCGACTATTTATTTGTAATTGGATTTCAATTTTGAAATGGCCTATTAATCGACTGGCCTATTTATCGACTTGGCCTATTAATCGACTGTGACGAAAAGTTAACATGTGCAAATAAAGACGTGAAGTTTAATTATTTTATCTTAACGAGGATGGCTCAAAGTGGAGCCAAAACGTTCTTATATTTAATATAATGATTTAAAATTTAAATATACATATATTTGTATTTATATAGTTACGCATCGTTACCTGACTCTCATTAGCCCGCCATTTGTTATATTATTTGTTTAAGTCCTTTCTTTATATAATATTTTTTAAATCCATATGACAAAATGTTTAAAAAAGATTAATTAAAAATGCGACAATGCTTCTTTTATACCATAAAACCTGGTGATTTCGGCCCAGTTGGAATAACTTCGGCCTAAATAAAAAAAAAAGTGTAGTAACACACGTGTCCAACATTACGATGTAAGTCTTAAAGCGTCTTTGACTTTCTGTAAACTAGGTAAAGTGTAACATATTTCAGCAAGTAAACTTCTGTAACTTTTTACAAAATACTGCGTGCAATTTGCCGTTTCGTTAAATGAAGTTATGATGTTGCCAGTCGTACTAAACTCATATATTTATGATAAAGTATAGCAAGGAGTATGAGATATTCCATATAGCTTACGATATTGAATTTTTCTACCTGGATCACGGAAGACGTTTTTAAGATCTTCTTATGTTTCGATTTTGGTTAAAAAAATTTAGGCTAAAGTTATCCCGGTTTTGGGCGAAAGCTATCCATTTTACAGTACTCACTTCATTGTGTTCTTTACATGGCACAGACAGTTCCACATATCCATGTTCGATATATGTTTGAGCGCAATTAAAGAGCGGCCTCCTAGCCATAATTTTTCGTACTGTCGAATGCGCGCCATCGGCACCAATTATCAAATCAGCTTCCGCGTCTTCAATTGCCCCTGTATTAGTACTAAAGATAAGAAACTAATTAAATAGGACAAAATATAATATTAATTTCCGATAACAAAAAAAATATTATTCACTCACTTACTTTAAGAACTTTATCTTTCCTTTCTCCAAATCGGCTTCTACGAGCTTTCTATTGAAATTGAGTTGTACTTGAGGATATTTTTCTGCAGCTATTAATAAAATGTAATCATAACAAAACAAGATTTATATAGATTTTAAATTAGATTTTATGTTAGATTAGTTACCTGATATCGCGACTTAAATCTACGTTAATAGAAAGTGGGTACTGCGAGTAAGATAATACGCGCGAATTTTTACGGCTTCGCACACGACAACGTCATCGAATATCACATAGGACTAAAGCTTTTTTTAACTACGTCATCCCGCATTCAATCTCATATTCCCTTCACTTACGATATGATTAATATGACATTTATTTTAAATAAATTATGACAACAAATTGATTTTTTGCCCAAGTATTGATCGAATATGTAAGGATCTTAACTTTTGAAAAAATCAATTTAAAAAAATTAAGAATACCTTTTTTTAATTATATTATCACATAAATTATTTATCTCAATAGTGGTTGTATAATCATTGAAAGTTACATAAGTTTAGAGTAGAGAAAATGTATTATTAATTCTCAAATAGGGTTTGTTTTAAAATGGAATTCATATTTTATCTCACGTATCTAATTTATTCTTTTTCTATTTTCAGAATCAACTCTTTCTTTTTAAATGAACATTACTAATAATAAACTCACATGTTAAGCTAATTGTTATAATAAATGATTTTAATTTGATTTATGTCAAACAATATAAAAAAAGGAACATACCGTCCAATAAAACCACATTGAGATATCGTCTATTAACGGAATAAATGCACTGCAAAATAAAAAATTAACTCATGTAAACATTCAAAAGATAAACAAAATTATATATATATGTACAAAAGTTAATTCGAAATAGTAAAGACACACGTTTCCTTTGACGCTGTCATAAAGAACTTCTTTCAAATTGCCGTCTTTATCGTGGAGCATTCTTCCGCGCATACAAGTACCATGACATTTTACCAAAATATTTTCGAGACCAATTGCTTTTAAAGCTTCTCTGCCACGGTATGACAGTGCCAGGTTGATGCTTTGACCACGCGACTTTTCCATTCGTATATCTAAACATATGAAGACTCAAAATCGATTATTTATCTAAGATATTATCAGTACGATTTTAGAATAAAGTTGATAAATTGATAATTATTTCCTAAACCATTTAAAAAATAATGTCTCAAAATTTCTCAATTTCGGAAATATTATTTTTTTAATGCTTTAGAAAATAATTATCAATTTATCAACTTTATTCTAAAATTATACTGATAAAAAAATATTAAGCAAATATTATTTATCATCTATATATTAATGTGTTATGTTAAAGAATAGAATTAGTACAAACTTGTAAAAGTAATAAGTCACGAGACAAGCAAATTTAAGGCGCTAAAACTCGAATATAATTTTTTAACGTTTTTTACCTGATCGATATTCATAAATGACTACTTGATGACCCCTTTTAGCGAAAAAACAAGCAGCTAATGCTCCAACCTGCAATGAGAGCAATAGCTTCTTTTTTTTTATTCACCATTCTTTTACATCAAAATCGAGAAATAAAAATATTTCACGCACCAAACCACCTCCGACAATGGCAATACACGACTTCCCTTCCACTTCTGTCATAACTGTTCTGTTGTGTATCGAGGTTACTGATCAACTGTAGCAAACTGTCCCCGTACCCGTATATATATATATATATAGATATATACATTCTCGCACGCTACATATTGATGTTTGAACCGATATCTTATAGAGTAAAGGAGGATAATTTGATTAAGTTAACAGAACAATTTATACAATTTTGAAATTGTATAAAAGCTTAAGGTCCACAGCGTATTTAATTAACCTTCTGAGGACCGGTATATTTTTGATCGACTTTTTTATTTTAAGGGCTAGAACTTTTTCATCAATGTCATGGGATTGAGTGGCAAAGAAGATGACATCCCTAAAGGGGTCTTCGGTCCTCTACAGGTACTACTTAAACATGCAAAACGTGCACTATTGGTGCAATAGTGTATATTTTGTATATTTACATGCTCGTATTTTATTAACATATCATTACTAGTTTAGACCCTACAAAAATAAACGCGACATTCTCGCAAACTTCATATAAAAAGAGCAGTTCTTAATTGCTTATAAAAAAAGATTTAAAGGAATATTACAATTAATAGACTCCTCAAAATTCATAAGAATATATTAAAACAAATTGTATATCGATACGTGAGCATTAGGAGTCGCCGCTAGATATTTATTACGTAATATTAACTGATATATATGATATCTACAATTAAAATTTGGACGTTTGGCTAACCGTATTGAGCCATTCTCAGCAATAATAATTGCCGCTTATTTCCCTAAACGCATTGTCGAACTGCATCTCGTACAATCGCAGCTCCGACCAACCATACTGACATTGTATTGGAAATGTGGTGAGAGACAACCATCTTCAACATGGTTAACGTTGTGCCATCCAGTTGCTTAGCTGAGTGGAAATGATAGTAGAACTCAAGCTAGTAATTGCAACAACATATTTTTTAATTAGAAATTGGTACTGAATAATAATTAATTCGTGTATGTTGACCAGTAACTCACCCCATCTCTAAACACAAATGTAAATGAATTCAAGCATCGTCAATACATTGCAATAAATTACTGTACGATGTTAGATGAGATTAAAACACATAATGCTAACAATGTATGGAGAGAAAAATTCTCTGCGTTGTTCATCACAATTATCTCGTTAACACAATGAGGGACGTGTCGCTCGAACGAAACTTATTAATTGCTTACATCTCATTGTCAATATTGAAACGGTCAATCTCATTGTAATTACATAAGCATGTCAATGCCTTCTAAAACAATGTATAGTTTCAAGAAATTCTGACTGTTTTTAATTCGCAAGTTAATAATATCTAATATTATGGTGCACTCCCTCCCCATATAGCATAGATCTTTAAAGAACGTTCTACGGGACGTTCTGAGAACGTTCTCCAGAAGATCTCTGTGAGATAAAGTGTGTTATAAAAGCCATTACTATCTCTTTATGCTGTAACCGAAATAGTAAAGAGCTTTGTTTCTTTTAAATAAAAAATTCACTCCATTATGAAATATCGCAACAGAGAATAGACAGTGGAACGACAAGTAAATACAACACGACGATGTCACCTTAACCATCATCGTCGCCATCGTCTTCGTCTTCGGCTTCGTCTTCGTCGTTTCTAACACCGTACCCCTGTGTGGCCGACGTTGTCCGAAAATTCAAAAATAGCCGATGTGAGGCAGTCAGTGCGGCGATGTCGACAGCGAACGACGGTTCGGCGGTACGGTTCGGCCGATGGTGGTGGTGCTGGCGGAGAAGAAGGCGGAGTACTACGACCCGCGGCCCTACGATGCCGACGACGATGTACCACCCGAGGACAATCATCCTTCTGAGCGTACTGGCGTTGATCTCGGTCCTCCTTGGTCACGTTGACGCCGCCGCAAG